TGGCCAGGAATGACTAAGGGACAACCTGAAGGTTAAAAGCAAGGTGGGGCCAACTATATCAGATTTTTTTCAACGTTATTTTCAGGGGACATGTTTCACCCATGACAATGGCTATGAAAGGACTTAAGCAGAAGATACTAACACAGAACAACAAAGACCTAAAAGTGCCTTTGCAAAAATTATGACCTGTGAATGTGACCTTATTTGGAAATAGTCTTTATAGAGGTACTTAGTTAAGAGGAGGTCATTAGGGTGGACCCTAATCCAGCATGACTGGGGTCCTTAGAAGAGGAAAATTTGGGAAAAGACACAGGGAGAGCATCATGTGATGACAGAGGCAGAGAACAGGGTGATGCCTGCAAGCCAAGGATCCCTGAAGATCAATCGCCACCAACAGAAGCCAGGAAGCGGCAAACAAGGGCTCTCCCCGCAAGTTTTGGAGGGAGTATGGCGCAGAAAATGCCTTCATTTCAGACTTCTGTCCTCCAGAGCTGTGAGACAATCCGTTTCCGTTGTCTTAAGCCACTCTGTTTTTTGTGCTTTGTTACCACAGCCCTGTGAATAAAGCCTCCTGCAGGGTTCTTCCACATTTAGTCCTAGGTTTATATTCATTGAAATCTTTGCCATTCTGAAAGTCAAAAATGAATTTTAATAGTTAGCTCAACTTCTCTCTTTGCTTCGCAGTACTGAACATATCGTCTCATGGTATTGGCCATCTGAATCTCTTCTGTGAACTGCATGTGCAGTCCACAGCCATCTTATACAGGGGGACCATTTATTTTATGCTGATTTACTAGAACTCTGTATATATTAAAGGCATTATGCACTACACACTGGGGTCTGTCGGGGTGAACAGGGGAGGGACAGTGGGGGGGGTGGGGAGTTGGGGAGAGATAGCATGGGGAGAAAAGCCAGATATAGGTGAAGGGGAGGAAGGCAGCAAATCACACTGCCATGTGTGTACCTATGCAACAATGTTGCATGTTCTTCACATGTACCCCAAAACCTAAAATGCAATAAAAAATGTTAAAAAAAAAGCCATTATGAATTGCATTTGAAAGATGGGACAGATAGAGGAATTGTTGTCTACATTGTAGAAAACCACATGAACTACAATATGTTGGTGGAAATTAGTGTGATCATAGCAGAGAGGGAGATGGGAACTGGATTTTCAGAAGCAGAGAGTTGGAAATTCACTATGGAAAAAATTGGATAGGTAGGTTAAGCTCAGGTTAGAGAGTCACTGAATGCTCGGTTTGGAACCTTGCTTTGAAAATAGATACATAAGGTCAAGCAATTTGCCCAAAGCCATGTGGCTTTGGAAATTCAGAGCTTTGGAAAGCCCTGAAAAGCAGAGAAACTTAAGTTTGTCAGAGTAGTTATTGAATTCTCAATTAATTTAAATGGTGAGGAATTGTTCACCTAAAGCTTTGAAATGCCAATGAATGCTCATAAGGAAATCCTGCCAATATCCTGCTTCTAACATATCAAGCTTGGTGGCCTTCTGTCAGCCACTTGATTCCCATAAGATACCCCAGAAGATAATTATGTTAATTAATTCCATTCATAACCTTCTGCACTAATCAGAAATACAGGCATCTCTGAATTCCCTAAAGCTGGAGGGATCTTCATCATGATATATCAGTTTCCCCATGACCTTAAGAATAGGAATGTGGTCAAAGATTTCATTCTATGATGAACAAATTTGGGGAAGGGGACCGTGATGGTTAATTTTTATTTTATTTTATTTGTTTTCTGAAACAGAGTCTCAACCCATCACCCAGGCTGGAGTGCAGTGGCACGATCTTGGCTCACTGCAACCTCCGCCTCCCGGGTTCAAGCAATTCTCCTGCCTCAGCCTGCCAAATAGCTGGAATTACAGGTGCACACCACCACGCCTGGCTAATTTTTTATATCTTTAGTAGAGACGGAGTTTCACCATGCTAGCCAGGCTTGATCTTGAACTCCTGACCTGGTGATCCTCCTGCCTTGGCCTCCCAAAGTGCTGGGATTACAGGCATGAACCACTGCACCCAGCCTGTGATGGTTAATTTTATAGTCAACTTGGCTAGGCCTGTTTTTGGTCAAACTCCAGCCTGGTGTTGCTGTGAAAGTATATTTTAGATCCAATTGACATTTAAGCCAGTAGACTTTGAGTAAAGTAGATGGCCCTTCATAATGTGGGTGAGCCCCTTCCAATCACTTGACCACCTTAAAAGAATAGACTCAGCATCCCCATCCTGACCCATGAGGAAGAAGGAATTCTGCTTCCAGGTGAGACTGCAACATCAACCCTTCCCTGGGTTTCCTGCAGGGCCTGCCCTGCAGATTTTAAACTTGCCAGCCTACATAATTTCGTGAACCAATTCCTTAAAAAAATATGATTATAGTTTCTTTTCTTTTCTTTTTGAGACAGAGTCTTGCTCTCTCACCAGGCTGGAGTGCAGTGGCACAATCTCAGCTCACTGCAACCTCCACCCTCCGGATTAAAGTGATTTTCCCGCCTTGGTTTCCTGAGTAGCTGGGACTACAGGTGCCTACCACCACGCCCAGCTAATTTTTGTATTTTTAGTAAAGATGGCGTTTCACCATGTTGGCCAGGCTGATCTTGAACTCTTGGCCTCATGTGATCTGCCTGCCTCGGCCTCCCAAAGTGCTGGGATTACAGGCATGAGCCACTGTGCCTGGCCATATGTATATAGTTTCAAACTGACTCATATTTTCAACCTGTTTTGATTATAAAAATCCATAACTATTTAACAACAGTCAAATGAGTATGTAGCATTCCGAAAATAGGCAGGTTATTGACCAATACAATCAAGGTAGGTAATAGACTGAACCTTATGAAATGGCCAATATTTGGCCATTTCATCTATAAATATGGCAGTTTGATATGGATTCACCAATATGCATGGAACAAAGACTTGCTAACAAGATGGAATAGAATTGGAGACATTGATTGTGCTGTGTATTTTGGGAAAAGTGCATGTGAAAAAGTCCAAACCTACACGATAGTCTCTTCAAGTTTCTTCTCTCAACAGAGCCAGTTAGAGGGTAGCAAGATTTTAGATTTGAATTTGGAGGAAAATAGAAAGACTGTTCAGGTAGGTTTGGCCTAAGCCATGTGTCTAACTCAGGTTTTACTAGAGAACCCTGGTTGGAGATTATGGGCAAGTGGTAACTATTCTTGTCCCAACCACGTGACTGATGCCAAGGTTCCCTTCAATGGACCCATGTTGCTTTTAAGACAGATTCACAGCTCTAATGGGTGGCAAATAAAACCAGCTTTCACTCTAGTCTCATGTCCCACCAGTCCCAACCCTACTGTGGTAGAGACAGTTGTTGGACAACTCAGATTAATTGTTCTGGGAAATGGCTCCCAGCCAGGGGCCACAATTCTCAGCACATCTAGATGGGAGCATGTAACTAGCTCTGGCCAGTGAGATGTCAGTGGGACTCAGGTGTGACACTTTAGCACACAGGGGTCTAATACCATACTACCATACCCTCAGTCTGCTGGCTAAATATAACCAGAGTGACCTTGAAGCCACGAGACTAAATCAAACTGTCTCGAAGAGTCACCATTAGAGGGAAAGCCATCCTAGTGAGTCTCTAGAGCCAAGAGTTCTGCATTGGAGCTGGACAAGTGAGACATAGACTGTTACTTTGTTAAGTCCTTGAGATTTGGGGTTATTTGTGATCGCAGCACAACCCATCCCACCTACCGTTGCCCTTCAACGTTCTAAATCACCATCTGTTCTCTCAACTTACCAAAGTGTTTCGCTTGGCTGGACCTTTCAAACTATTCTCTCTACCTAGAATACCTTTTCCCTTGTCTGTCTGACAAATTACCAACACTCAGATTAAGTGACACCTATTCAGAGTCATTCCCTGATTTCTCTGGGGTATTGGCTTCTTCCTCTATTGTACCCTTGCTGTGACTTGTACCATAGCCTCCTGTCAAACCTCGATGACACAGTTACCCTCTCAAAAGACTGTAAGTTCTTTAAATAAATGCAGGCACTAGGTCCTATTCTTTATTTTCGGATCACCTAAACTAGTGCTGGTGTATGTAAGTTCTCCATGCATGGGTTTTGGATCAGCCTAAGTAAATTGGGTGTGTGGGGTTCTTTGGTTTACCCCTGACCCGGCTGACTGCAGTGCGGAGCTGACCTGAACTGATCAGACAGGCTGAATTGCTGCAGGTGTGTCTCGTTGGAGCGGTCCTTCTCTTAAATCAGTAAAGCACTTCAAACAAATGCCCAGAGTAGGGGCTGGGTACAGTGGCTCGTGCCTGTAATCCCAGCACTTTGGAAGGTAGAGGCAGGTGGATTGCCTGAGGTCAGGAGTTCGAGTCCAGCCTGGCCAAAATGGCAAAAACACAATCTCCACTAAAAAAACAAAAATTAGCCAAGTATGGTGGTGGGCACCTGTAATCCCAGCTACTCGGGAGGCTGAGGTAGGAGAATCACTTGAACCCAGGAGGCAGAGGTTGCAGTGAGCCGAGATCCCACCACTGCACTCCAGTCTGAGTAACAGAGTGAGACTCTGTCTCAAAAAAGAAAAAAAAAAAAAAAAAAAAAGAAATGCCCACAGTAAAGAAGTGGGCCCTTAGAATGTGTCTTTTGCTATTCACTGAAGGTTACAGGAAAACAAAGCTTTCTCATTTGCAGAATGTGTCTTTTTAATGGCTGCAGATCACATTTAATACGTGCTTTGCTTGCAAGACATTGGAAATTTGGATCTCTCCCAGCGTTCTGACCAGATACTTTCTAGAATTCCTTTGCTTCTTTGTAAAATTTTGATTCTTTTTTTTTTTTTGGAAGGGACAATAGGGAATTTAAAAAATCAAATTAAAATGGAATGAAAAGTGCCTTTCACAAGAATGTTTTATTGTCTCTGCCTGAATTTCTAACATAGCTTATGAGGTAAAAACACTGCGTTAGTAAAAATGGAATACTCTTGGTTACATGAAATCCCATCCCTCGTCCTTCAGATCCCCTGGAGGAGAAGTTCCTCATTTTCTGGGATCGGAGACGACAGCCGTGGTGGAGTAGGAATAGGGACTTAGCAGGGCGGCGACGATGTAGTGGCGGGGACCGGAGTCGTTGGCGGAGAATACCACCTGTGAGAGAAGACAGACAGGATCCATTTCCACCAGAGCTCGAAAAACGTGACAGAAGACACACACTACTGACCCCCAGAAGTCCACTGCCAAATTAATTAATTTCATTCTTTTATTTTTTTGGAACAGTTTGAACAGAAGGAAAAAGCTCAGATACACTGGCAAGCTAAGCCTTTGGAAGCATGTGCAGTCCTTAGAGCAGGAGTTGTTCTCGACTGCCTATAAAATCTGGTCTTTTTTGCAAATTCACACCAAAAGTCAGGGTGGCCCTCGCTTGACCTATGGAAATCCCAGAGACCCTAAAGGCTTGTATATTTGATTAGATTTAAAAAAAAAAAAGGTGGGGAGAATGCAAAAATGCATTCAGTCATTGAAGAGCTGCTGTAATAGTGGCTGCCAATCACAGACTTTGAGACTTAGCATTGGAAACATTCTTCCCATTTTACAGATGAGCAAACCAGACTTGAATTATGGTATCATCCCAGCCTACATACTGACAGAACCACAGTAGGAAGGTAAGTCTCCTGTCTCCAAGCCTAGAGATTCCCCTACCCCACCATTCTTTGCATTTTCGAAGACGAAGAAGTATATTTTTATGTATAACAAGCAATGAAATATGAAGTAAAAGCATTACGGGGCTCTATTGACAGTACAGGCAGAATATGGAAGATCATGGTGGAATTTTGAAAAATATATACATGCACATTTAAGCTCATTTAAGCTTTCTAACTGGGCAAATTGTGGATCAAAATGCTGTTCCAGTTAATCACACAGTTCTGTCAAATTCAGTAGCGTATCCGCGACTCAAGCTGGCGCAGCCTTGGTTCTCAGAGTGAGGCAAGCTGGGATAAATTGAGGTTAGGAGAGAGCTAGAAGACGTAAAGAAGTGTTGAATTTGATTTATTTTGTATACAGGCCTTGGATTGAGGTTTGGGCACACTCTGCATAAATACATTTTGTTCCAAATATGGGAAAAAGAAACCTGGATTACTTAGGGATAGGAGGAAAAATGGATCTGAGTGAACATACCAAAAACAAAAACAATACTGGGGCAAGAGGAAGTGAGAATCACCTGAGTCTCTCTGAAGAAGAAAGTGCTCCCCTTAGCCAACTCCCTAGAATCAACTAATGAAAATGTCTTTTATGGTGACATTGACCTTCAGCCCACTGATTCTTTTTTAAAAATTGTAAGAGGCATATTCTGTGATCAAAAATCCATGAAGTAGCCAGGCGTGGTGGCTCATGCCTGTACTCCCAGCACTTTGGAAGGCTGAGGCATGTGGATCACCTGCGGTCAGGAGTTCGAGACTAGCCTGGCAAACATGGAGAAACTCTGTCTCAACTAAAAATACAAAAACTATCTGGGCATAGTAGTGCATGCCTGTAATCCCAGCTACTCAGGAGGCTGAGGCAGGAGAATTGCTTGAGCCTGGGAGGTAGAATTTGCAGTGAGCCGAGATTGCACTGCTGCATTCTAGCCTGGGTGACAGAGCAAAACTCCATCTCAAAAAAAAGAAAAAAAAAATTCCTGAAGTGAAGAGGCCTAAGAGCTCCAAATAAAAGTTTCCAATTTCCCTTGGTAAATCTACTATGACCACCTGGCTCATTGGCCAAGGTAGAAGTGAACAGTTCTGAAGGAGGCATTTATCAGAAGAAGCTGCACGAAGCCTACCATACACCAGTCACTAAAGTGAGGCACTGGGCCTCATCTCTCACTGCTTGCTCTCTCTTGATCTCCATATCTATCCAGGCCTCAAGCTGGGCTGACAGTCCTGCCTAATCTGTCTTACATCAGTCATTTCCCCTCCATTCCAAGGGTAGGGATGCATTTTCATTTCTAAATCTCCAGCATCTAGCAGAGTGCTCCATACATAGAATGCTTTTATTTTATTTTTTAATGTTTCTTGAATGAATACTGTAAGAGTGAATAGCAGACAAGGAAGCTAAGATCTAATGAAAGAACAACACGTGGGCAGTATGGCAATGAACCTTTATAGATGGTCCCATCAGGCTGAGACCCAGGTCTTAGGCAGACAATGGTCTCAAGTAGGCAGATCCACTACTCAAGGGTAGGGGCTGATACTCTAGGGTGATGTCTTGTGCTGGGCACTACTGAAATGCTGCTCCTGCCCTGACTGGGTTCTGTGTGTTGCTGCCTGGCTGAGGGGTAATAAAGGGACATGCTTCTTGGTAGATGGGGTCTTCCTTTGTGACTTGTGGGTCCCAGAAGTCAAACAAGCCCCTATCATTTCCCCCGTAACATTGCCTAATAAGGGAACCATTTTATATCAATTGAAAGTCTCATCCATGACTAAGCCAGAGAGAAGAGTTCCCTTTCATGCCGAGCTATTTTTGATGGAATTAGTTGATCTTTAACTCTGACCAACATGTCTGGATTCTATTTCCATGACAGCCATCTGTTTCAAATGATTTAAGAAATCAACACAAAGAGGAGGCAGGGAGACTGGGCCCATGTATAACTGTTTGACGATCCTTACCATAGGCAGGGGAACAGAGCACGTGACACATGCGGCTTTTCTTTTTTTAAGCTTGGCTCTTCACGGGGGAAAAAGTTTCCTGGGCACAATGTTAGCATAGTGAACTGAGGAGACATAGCAGTACTGAGGCCAAACCCAGCCTGGGTCTTATTTGTAAACATTTCTACTCCTGTATTTCCTAGCCTTGTGACCTTTGACAAAATATTTGACTTCGTGGTGTCTCATTTTCTTCATCTGTAAGATAGGGATAATAATAGGACTGACCTCGGTGGCCTGTTCCTGAGGATTAAGTGGGTTAAATACAGAAAACACTTATAATCATGTCTGCCACATGGTGAAGGCTTGCTAAATGCTAGCTCTTGTGTTGCCATCATTACTTTGATTTATTGTCTCTATATGTATGTGTTCCAAGAATCACTTATCCAAACCTCCGAGGAGCCAGATGTGTTTTGAAATAACGTTTTAGGTTTTAAGGAAATAAAATGGTGCATCTCTTGTTTCATAACACTCTATGTAGGGTCTGGAGGGCTGCTTCATAAACATATTATTTCATCAGCAAATACATCAATATTCGTATCAAGTGGCACGAATAGGCTACGAATAGTGTCATGTAAGTTCAGGTCATGTTGCTAAGTGGGTTTTCACAAAGTCAAAAAGAAATTTGCTTCTCAGAGTGTTGTGAATTTCTTCTTGTATAAGAGAAATGTACCTTCTTTAGGACATTTCTGTAATACGCTAAGTAAAACTGCATTTCCTGGGACACCAAAGACAAAAACCAAAACCAAAACCAAAACCAAAACAGCCCTCAAAGGTCTGTGTACTCACATCTGCATGCTCATGGAATGAGGTGATGCCAAGGGTGTGCCAGTAAGATTTGCTGTTTATTTCCACTTTGTATACCCCTTTCACAAATTTCTCTTCAGTTGTAAGCCCATGCAGCTCTCCAGACTCACTGGTTTTCCTATAAGGAGTGAAATTCTGGGTTAAGTTAGGCATGGAGGAAGTAAATGGCATGGCAAAGTGATACCACACACACACACACACAAACACACACAGACACACAGACACATACACACACACATGTTATATACGTTTCCCTTCAACTAAGTCAGAAGTGGGGAAAATTCATAACTGTCTGAAATTAAACAGCAAAAAGTTTGCAGAAACTTTTTAAAAAGCTCACTGTAGATTTTTTCCTTTGATGGGAAGAGAATGTAGGTATATATATTTTTTATTTTTTATTTTTTGAGACAGAGTTTTACTCTTGTTATCCAGGCTGGAGTGCAATGGCTCAATCCCAGTTCACTGCAACCTCGACTTCTAGGGATTCTTTAGCCTCAGCCTCCCAAGTAACTGGGATAACAGGCACCTGGCACCACACCTGGTGAATTTTTGTATTTTTTCTAGAGATGGGGTTTCACCATGTTGGCCAGGCTGGGTCTTGAACTCTTGACCTCAGGTGATATGCCCACCTAGGCCTCCCAAAGTACTGGGATTACTGGCATGAGCCACCACGCCCAGCCAGGTATAATGTTTACTTAAGAAAGAGTCCTTGTGATTCAAGATTGATGATTGGTTGGGATGTTGTGACCAACCCTGGAAGTGGTCACAGCTGTTCTAACTGCACTTCTCAGGACAGCAGGGTCTCATTCTCTCCCTTGTGGTGTGACAATACCTTTCAGAGCATCCACACACCACCAGGGAGTGTCATTTGCACACACAGTGGACAATCTAAAGTAGGAAGAAGAACCTGTATCTGACTCTTTTCCCTTTTATATATTTAACCTCTCTGGTAACTCTTTGCCAGCAACAAACACTAGGCAACTTCCATTTCCATGTAAGTACCAGCTCTATAGTTTAATGTTAGAAATTGCTTCCCATTAGACTGCAACAGCTAAGACAGATAAAAATAGAAGTTGTCTTTACTGACTCTGATCGTGCCCCTCCTCTCCTTTCCCTTTCTTCTTTTCACTTCCTTTTTTTTTTGGTCCTGGCAAAAGGAAAAAGATTCACAAGAACATTTAAATATTTTTGGTGTCCATTCTCTTTATACCAAAGAATAGTCCCATAACCACTTTTCATGTTATGCTTGGCATTTTATGTAAACATAAATGAATTACCAAATAAAAAGTTAGTTAAAACCAGACCAAAGAAAATGATCTTCCCAATAACGGTTGAAGAATCATGTGGTTCTTGGGGTTCAATTAAAATGCAACAGAAATTCTCTGAAGAGACGTAAATACATAGCAGTTCCTCTTCTGCTGGCTGCTAAGGGTCTCCTAATTGCTCTGTCTTTCAGTCCTTTGCTTAGGTTTATTAACATGTATTTTCCTTGAAGCTTTGCTAGTGCAGGTAAAAAAAAAACTCCATGAAAATTGTGAACTGGCTAATGAAGGTGAGCAGTCTCTCTTGCACATGATGTTGGGTGATTGTGGGATGAGTCTGGGGCTGTACTTTGCCTCACGGATCCATCTCTTCTGTCTTCTTCTTTTTTTTTTACTGAGCTTGTCAGCTCCCCACCTTGCACACAGTAGGTGCCCCAAAGTGTTAATTAGGCAAAAGCCCTGGCTTCTGGGTGATCCAAATTAACTACAGATGATGTCCAGTAAATAATGTTCCTGAATTCCTTTTCTGCCATTAATGAGTTAATACACATTGGACCTCTTTCCTAAAAGTCTAGGACAAGGACTCTCATCTTTGGTGTTACACAGAGACACAGGGAATCTGTGAAACTCCTAAAATTGCATACATGGTTGTGTATGGGTGTGTATCTGTGCATTTTTTCTGGGCATAGAGTCTTTAGTTTTCATCACCTACATAAAGTGATCTGTGTCCCAAAAGGGTTGCAAGCCCCAGCTAGAGGAGAGGCATTCTGATTCCTTCTTTTCCCGACTGTCTGCCCCTAAATGATGCTCAGTTTCCTGATCACTTCCTAGCTAAGCAAAACAAAAAGAAGGCATCCTTCAGAGGGTACACTTGATCTCTGCCCATGTCTTTTAATCTACTTGTAAATTCTTTAGCAGAGGATGTGAACCTCTCTCTACCAAGTGAGGAGAGAATGGGAAGATAAAACCAAGTCCCATGGGAGGGTTCTTTGGCAACTTACCCAAAGGCAAATGGCTCCCAGGTCTCATCAGCAGCCTTTTTGAACACACTCACAGCTACATTGACGGCAGGACGGCCTTGGACCGCATCTAGAACTTTGACCATCAGAGGACAGCTGTATCCCTGGGTGTAGAGAAGACAAATGAGAAGTTAACAAAATTGATCAGAGTGAAAGGATTTATGGTTTATGGTATTAGAAATCTGGAACAAAGCAAGAATTACACACTGATCCCATTATCAGGAACATAAGTGTTGACAATTACTGAGCTTCCCTATGCAGTATAACACAGACATAATTATTTCCAAGGCAAGAATGGTTTCTGCCTCCAGACATGCTGCTATCAACCAGGGATGTGTATAATGAATTTTAAGGGAGAAAATTGGCCCCCTGAGGATAGTTGCTTTGTTAAGCCTCTCCATTTGAGTGCAATTACTGAAAAGATGTAATGTACCATACATAGGGCCAAAGAGTTTTCCCTGAGATCATTTTAGTTGTTGCCATAGTCGCTCCCTCTTACCGGTTGTTATAAAATAATGTCAGTCTACATCCTGACCCATTTTATAGTATTAATTAATTCTTCTAGAGGATTTAAGAATTAGATAGATATCTAGAATATTACTCACCAGCCTTTTTAAAGATTAATCAATAAATACATTTTGACTAGCTATAGGGCCAGAATATAATCTCATGCGGTTTGCCCCCCAAATACATTTGATAAAGGGATGCTTTTCTGAAAATTCAGTATTAACATCTTCCTTAATATCACATCTTTATTTCTATCATCTATCTGAGGAAATTGAGGTACCAGACTTTGCAAACCCAATGCACCAAAGCTATGAGGCAGAATGTCCAGAATTCAAGTCCCAGCTCAGTAAGCTCAGCAAGCTCAGCGGAGCTTCATTCTTTTTGAAGTTCTAATCAATGATATTTAAAACAGATGCTGAATACCCTTGCCCTAGTAACAAAAGTTGGTTGGCAAAGCCAGAAGGATCCACTTCTACTTCAGGTAATGTGCATCTTAAATGTGGAAACAGGATGTCACAGAAACAAACACTCACCATATGGCCAGCCTCAGACACAAATACCAGTCCAGCGAGGCAGAGGAGGAGCAGATGATGAGAAGCCATCCTGCCAAGAATGGTAGAGTTCTGTGATGGCTGCTCCCAGCCTGGGGCTTTTATACTTATTTCTCCTGAGCTAGGCTGCTTATCCCTGCCAATCTGACTCCAAACCTGCTGATTCTGATTATTGACTTAGTCAACAAAGAGAGAATAAGTAACCCATACAAATATGAACCTTGTCTGGAGAGATTAGAGCACTGGGACATAAGCTCTATGAAATATTCTTAATAGGTCATTTGACCAGTTAGATCACCAAAACAAAACAGTCAAAACAAAACAAAACAAAAATAGTCTTCTCTCTGTGTGGCTGCATGCACTAACATTCTTGGGGTATTGTTTCCTCTCTTACATATTTCTATGCATGTTTTCCACTTTTATACATTTTTGTCTTTCATTTTTAATGCAAGATTTTAGACAGATGAAAGTTGTAAAAATATATTTCATGCTGAATGACATTTGGCTGCACAGACTTAATTATAGTGCATTAGAAAATGTTTGTACTTGATGGATTCATGGGTCAACAAGGAAAAGCCCTTGACAGTGCTCACATTTTTAAAAGTCTACATTTTAGCCAAACTATCATTTGGAAGCTTTGCTTAATTAGCCATTTCTCCATAATGTGTGCGTGTGTGTGTGTGTGTGTGCATGCACGTGTACATGCATGTGTGCGTGTACGTGTGTGTGTGTTCTGCTCAGATAAGGTCCACTTCAATCTAAGACAGACTGGCATCTTCCTCCCTTCCCTCCCTCCCTCCCCTCCTTTTCTCCCTTCCTTCCTTCTTTTTTTTGACAGGGTCTCACTTTGACACCCTGGCTGGAGTGCCGTGACATGATCACAGCTTACTTCAGCCTTGATCTCCCAGGCTCAGGTAATCCTCCAACCGCTGGTCTTGAACTCCTGGACTCAAGTGATTCGCTCACTCGGCCTTCCAATGTGCTGGAATTACAGGTGTGGGCCACTGAGCTGGGCCAGAATGACATATTTCAACTTGGCATCAATGACCCTGAATACAGAGAACTAAATCTTCTTTACTGTCTCTCCTGCATTGGGCATGCAGGAACAAGGCTGCCAGCTGGTTTTTGACGGAACCAAACTTGCTGGAAGAAAGTAGAGATGACAGAGAACCAGAAGTCACGATTGACGACAGATTCTTTTCCTCCTGGCCAGCTTATTAATACAAGTCCTGAAATTATGATGTTTTGATGACTCATTAATCAAGTACAAAATCCTCTGTTGTTTGTGTGTGTGTGTGTGTGTGTGTGTGTGTGTGTGTGTGTGCGCGCGCGCATGCGTGGCTTTGTGGGTAAATTTTGTCCTTATAAGACAAATATGTAAAAGATATAGAGAAGACAAATATTTTGGACAAATACGTGTCAAGAGTGAGTCTAGTTTGGAGCAGTAAGAGTTGAGAGAACATTTCCATAACTGATGTAGTCAGATTAGAAAAAATTCAACAAGAAATCATGAAGCACAGGAACTTTCAGGCAGTAGTGGAAGGGACAGAAAGGCCTTTTAGGGACATGGGAATGTTCAGGAGAGAACTCTGGGAGGTGGGTTGACCTCTCACAGCAACAAGCAAATCCAGTTGAGAATCTTTGACCCTTAGAGTTTGACTAGGAAGCAGCAGCCGAAAGACGTTTGCATTTGGAGTTGGATGACCTGCATCATCCGATCTCAGTTCTGCTGCCCCGTTTCCAGGATGACCTTCTATGAGTTATTTACTATCTCAGCTACTCGGTGAACTCATTTGTAAAACAGCAATACCTACTTTTCTATTTCAAAGGACTGTTCCAATAACCTTTAATATGAGATGATGTATAAGCCTTTTGTAAACTATAAACCACTATCTTGGTATAAAAGCATAACTAATAGAATTTGGTTCAACATGTATGCCTCAGGAGAAAATCCTTTCTCAAATAACAGCTCTCAATATTGTCATCCAGTATCATCTTGGTAATTTCCTATTGTTCAGAACCTGAGGAGAGAACCTTTTCTCTGGCTATGAATCATAAACATTTGGAAGTTCTTTTATAACGCAAGTGAAATCTACTGTGCATGTGTTTTAGCATGGTACTCTGTTGAAACCAAGAATCATCTCTTGTTGACCTAGTGACCTGGCAACCCTGGGCCGCCATTAGCCCATAGATATGTTATATTTGGGCTGCACAGTGTCTCTTTCAACATTTTGTGATAGTTGCTAAAATTAAAAATGGAGACATGTTGCATAACAATTTGGATTTCTGGCTTCTCTTAGGAAACCAAAAATGATGGCAGCATTAGGCCCACATTCACACACAACAGCCATCATCAGAAGGTCACTGTCAGGCACCACGACCCCCGAGGCCTCCTGCCAATGCCAAGGCTAGGTGGATTCTCAGGTGGCATACCATGCTTGAGCTTTTTTCTCTTTTTACATGTGGCTCTTTTCTCTCATCTGTGTTTCTGCCCAGCCTTTTGAAAATTTGAGTTTGTGATTGCTGGTCTTCCAACAGCCATGTAAGTAGTTATTTTCTTTTTGCCAGACATTCCTGCTTCTGTGAATGAATCTTGTTTAGATATAGTTTCTAAGGTCCTTAGCATCCTGAACTTCCTTCTCTGACATACTCCCATTGGTCAAAGTTTCTCTTCAAGTGTGATGCTCTGAACAAGACACGGTCTCTGGAATAGATCAGGCCAACCCACTGGATGTTGAGACTGTTGTCTCCCTTGGCAAAGACACTTCAGTGTAAATGTTGTACCCAGAATCCATCTGTAACTGTAGTAACTGTGACCCTCTCTTCATCGTAACACTACCCACTGTGATCTGTTGGTCACAATAACCTAAAATAGTCTATATTTTCTGTCATCTTATGCTTTGATCATTTATGAATTTTAACCCAAATATGGGAACCTAAGTTCTTATCTGATAGAGCTCATCCTTTAGTTTGAGCCCCCTACTTGATCCTTGATATGGTCAGGCTCTGTGCCCCCAACCTAATCTCATTTTAAATTGTAATCCCCATAATCCCCACATGTCAAGGGAGAGACCAGGTGGAGGTAATTGAATTGTGGGTTCTTGTGATAGTGAGTGAGTGGATCTGGTGGTTTTACAAGGGCTTTTCTCCCTTTTCTCAGTAGCTCTCCTTCCTGCCGTCTTGTGAGGAAAGTGCTTTGCTTTCCCTTTGCTTTCTACCATGATTCTAAGTTTCCTGAGGCCTCCATAGTTATGCTAGTTATGCTGAACTGTGAGTCAATTAAACCTCTTTCCTTTATAACTTACCCAGTCTCAGGTAGTTCTTTACAGCAGTATGAAAATGGACTAATACAACCCTATTGACATCTTTTAATAGTTGTTCTGTGAATTCCTCTCTTAGAGCACTTTCCACGCCATGCCCTTGGTCACTTTGACTTGCTTGCTTTCTGAACTATCATTGATCTGGAAATCACTAATGAAATTTGCATTTGAACAAGACAAGGAAGTGGGGAAAAAGTAAGGCAATTCAGGATACAGAGAAGATCCTAAATTTCATTGGAAAATCATTGATAAAGCTTAAAGAGATAAAGATTATTTTTTAATATCAAAAGATGAGAGGGTTCAAAAAATAGAATAAGATCTACTATTTGATAGCACAGCAGAGTGACTATAATGAATGATTGTATATTTTAAAATAAAGAGTATAATTGGATTGTTTGTAACTCAAAAGATAAATGCTTGAGGAGATGGATACCCCATTTTCCATGTTGTGCTAATTCCACATTGCATGCCTGTATCAAAACATTGCATGTACCCTGTAAATATATACACCTATGTATCCACAAAAAATTAAAATTAAAAAGATATAAAAAGAGAAAATCTTGGCAGAGACTTAAAGATGCAATGTGGGTAGTCCAGAGTCAAAGTGAGAGCTCTGGGAGAAGCAGCTTGCAGTGTTTTAGGTGAGAGAAGACTAAGGCTAAAGCATGAAGAGAAAAGCAAAAAAATGGAGAGGGAATGCATTATGTGTTAAAGGAATGGTTGTATGGAACCTGTGGCAATGACAAATACAAGAAAAATCCAATGTTTCTTGCCTAAGAAGCAATTTATGATGAGAGAGAGTTATAGGATTAAATCTACACTCAAACATAAGAAGGTCTTCCTTTCCTGTGTTTATTTGAGTTTGTGAAAGCTCTTTTTGGAGGATGATCATATAGGATCCATGAAGAGGAATGAATCAGGGTCAATAATCACCACATTCCTGGAGACCAAAGTGGTTGCTGCAGATACTGTGTACTTGGGAACAATCAGTAGCTGTGAAGATCCAATGTCGTAAAACAAAAGAAGCACCAGTGAAGCATTTCAGCTGCAAGTTTGTCTTCTTAGCCACATACTTTTTCCTCTCAATCTGACCATGGAGCTATAGCCTAGATGTGTAATTGAGGTGAAAAAGATGAATTTGATGCAACATTTCTCTTCCTCCTACAGAATATGCTGTGATTAATGAACACATTGCCTGGCCCTTAGTTGAGGGTTCTTCCACCCTCTTCCTTGTAATGGGCAGTTTTATCTATCAAAATTTTTGATATTATAGATAAACTCTTTCTTCTTGGTTTATTTTCTGATGGTGCATGTCAGTTGCTAGGCAGTAATCTGTTGACACTGAAATGCCCACTCATATTAATGTGGCTAAGCTGATTAGCCAGAGTGGGGCATAGGCTGGCTGAGTGCTGAGACTGGGCCTCATTGTGGGGTTTAGGGGAGAGTGGAAATGATGGTATTTGGGGGCCCTGGATCTTTGCAGATTGAAGAATTCAATTTTGTCAGCTCCCCTTGAGGTGAATAAGCCTTGGGGGTTTGATTAATGGTAAGCAAATCATAAAAGATTCATTTTAAAACTATAATACCAATTTAATTAATAGTCAGATGGTTGCTAGATAAGGAAGAAACTGAAAAGGGCCCTGGCTAATTTTTTGCCAGTATATCATCTGGACTGCGGGAGAGCCTAGGAGAGTTGTCTGGCTTCTCTGTAGCACATACTTTTCTTGTGCTTGGAATGCTTGTGTCTG